ATTTCCTTTTCATTTATTTAACTAATAGGGAGGCTCTTGGTAACTTCGACCGTGTTTAAATTTAAATTTGGAAGAACAATGAAACATGCAGTAAGTCAACTTGTCACAATTTATGACGGAAATATGGATGTAAATTTATTCGAGGTACTTAATTTAGCTGCATCTTATAGTAAGTTAACAAGGTTTAGCTACGATGTACTGAATAAGTAATGTGACACTTTTAACGTCTACAAATAGCCAGTAAATAATCTAGTTCAATATAATAGAATTGTGAATTATGTGGTATACACTTCGAAATAGAGATACTTCGAGAGCATCTAGAACTAGTAGACGTGATCTGTGGAAAGAAAATTATTGTAGCTTATGTACATAGAATACACCCAAATAGATGAGAGAAGGTGAAAGAACCGAAAAACAAAAATATATAAAATCTTTTATACGGGAATGAAAATAATAAAAATTGAGGCAGCAGGGCATTTGTTGTTGTGATTTTTAAAATGTGGTCGTGGATATCGTTACATGTTAGTTGTGGAGTCTAATTAGTAAGGATTGTGTTAAGAATTTATGTTTGAATTGGAGTCCAAATTATTATCAATTTAGGAAGCCTAATTCTTGTAAAATTCTATTAAAGAATTGAAATCCTTGTAACATTAGATTTTGCATAGCGCTCCTTGTGCTTTTTGATCATCCACCAAATAGAGCAATAAAGAGAGAAAGAGAGGTTAGAGAACATATGTGAGCAATTTTCTTTTGTAAATTTTTCTTTTATTGTAATGAATTATTATAGCGGTGGGAGAGGATATAGTCTCATATTAAAATGAACTTCTACAAATTTTGCGTGTTCTTGATTGTTTTAATTTTTTCATTCTTACAAATTAATTGCTCTTAGTGAGATAGAATTAAGGTTTAGTATTCTCAACATTACATTCGTTGATAAGATCTAAGCAATTAAGTGGGTAAATGCAGGGATAATGTTATGCCATGTTTGGTTTAGCTACATAAGTGAATTAAAATTTAAGACAAAATCAATAATTAATTTTATCCACAAGAGATCCACATTTTTTTTAATCACATATTCAAAATTTACTTAAAAATTGATCTTTATCTAAACCAAACATGGACTATAAATAAACCGATAATCACTCCATGGGATATGATATGACAAGTAACGTGTGGTTAAATGATAAGATCAGTTAAATATTTGAATATGAGACTCATAGACCGAGCTACGTGAATATAAGGGTTGCCATAGGGGATGACCGAACATACACATGAGTGTCGGCATTTTTTGATTCACGTAGGACCTACACACAATGTGAGAGTCGATCAACCGAGATTTCATCAAAATTCAGGCAAAGTGGCTTTTTTCATTTGTCCATATACCAGTACTCATAAAGTGGTTTTTTTCTAAAAGCATTGACCGCATTGTTTGTGTATTATTCAAGGGAAAACTGTTGGCACCATTAAGATTCAGGTGGCACGAAGGTGTGTGGGAATGGGATACATGCAAATCAAGCATATTTACAATTACAAGTAAAGTGGTTTGCCTCTTTTTATTGGTTTTCCCAATCCTTTAGGCCTATTTGACTTTTCTTTCACAAAACCTAGGGGGAGAGGAAGTCAATCACGTGCATGGATTTGACATCGTAATGCCAAATCCTACTTTACATTTAATGATGAGTATGAATATGAATATTCTGATACAAACCATTCAACCTGCCTGCTCCTTCTATTCCTGCTCTCATCTTCTCCTATGCACCTCATTGAGAAGATTTACATTTGTACAGAAAACTATTCCCAAAATTCTGTCAACAATCTCACATGTATGGGACCCATATTGTGATAAAAAAATATCAATATTTCCCTCCACCCACTTTGTGTTGCGTCTGTTCTGTATAGATTCTGTATGTGCAGTTTATGTATACACAGTAAGCTTCCCTCTATTAATGCCACACTCTTTACGTATCTTTTCAACAAAAAAGAAGCTTACGCATTTATTCGTTTAGACAAAATTATTTTATTAAAAGAATGCATAATAAAAAATGAATTTGAGAAAAATCACATTTCAAATAAATTGTGTTGAACAAACGAGTGGACAACTAAGGACTCCGTTGGGGGCGTGATGCCAAAAGCTACTTCCACTGTTTGTTTGGAGGACTGAGCTAGGTTATATATTTCTGTGCAGAAAGGTACAATGAACCAAGCCCTAAATATGTGATACTTTGATGCCTAAGAAAATTTTTCTAGTTTTGTAAAGTTTCTAGAGAAGATTTGTTCTGATTTAATCTATAGCGTTCCATTATCATATAATAGAGTCTTTGTAATCCATACAAAAGATTTTATCTTTTAACAGATTTTTAGATGTGCTCTCAAAAAAATTAGGATAGTGAATAAAAGTTTCATGTCGAATAGATATCTAAATTGTTTGAATATATTTATAAAGAAAATATACAAGGCAAATACACAACCCATGGCAAAATGCAACCTTTTCGGGTGTGGCTTGAAATCGTATCAGAACAAACAAAGATTTTGATCCAAGTCTCGTTATCAATCACTCATTTAAAGAAATTGTGCAATATTAAAATTTGATTAAAAAAAAAAAAGATCAAACTTTGCTTAGAGCATGTTTGGTAGAGATTTTAATTCAATTAACATCATTTTTTTTTTTGTTATTTCACTATTTCAGTCGTCATTTCTGAATTCTTCTTTCACAGATAGGAACTACTTTATCTCTGACGATCAAAAAATTAATTA